CATAGAAGAGTTCACATCACACGGACCAAACATGAGGACCATAGAAGAGTTCACATCACACGGACCAAACATGAAGACCATAGAAGAGTTCACATCACACAGACCAAACATGAAGACCATAGAAGAGTTCACATCACACAGACCAAACATGAGGACCATAGAAGAGTTCACATCACACGGACCAAACATGAGGACCTTAGAAGAGTTCACGTCACACGGACCAAACATGAGGACCTTAGAAGAGTTCACGTCGCACGGACCAAACATGAGGACCTTAGAAGAGTTCACATCACACGGACCAAACATGAGGACCTTAGAAGAGTACACATCACACGGACCAAACATGAGGACCTGTTGTAAGATGTAAAAAAGAATAAAAACAAAAGCTAACTCCAAACAGTTGTCTTTAATGAAGGAAGCATCAGTAAACATTACCATATCATCAACCACTCCCTTTCTTCCTCACCCCTCTAGGTCTCTTATTAGGTTTTTTACTGCCCTCTAGCGACCATACTCAGTATCACAATGATTCACAGAACACAACAGGACCTTGGAAGATTTAACATCACACAGACCAAACATGAAGACCATAGAAGAGTTCACATCACACGGACCAAACATGAGGACCTGTTGTAAGATGTAAAAAAGAATAAAAACAAAAGCTAACTCCAAACAGTTGTCTTTAATGAAGGAAGCATCAGTAAACATTACCATATCATCAACCACTCCCTTTCTTCCTCACCCCTCTAGGTCTCTTATTAGGTTTTTTACTGCCCTCTAGCGACCATACTCAGTATCACAATGATTCACAGAACACAACAGGACCTTGGAAGATTTAACATCACACAGACCAAACATGAAGACCATAGAAGAGTTCACATCACACCGACCAAACATGAGGACCATAGAAGAGTTCACATCACACAGACCAAACATGAGGACCATAGAAGAGTTAACATCACACTAAAGCCTGGTGGTGAGAGCATGTTATACTCTGTAAACCACCACTTTGCGCAAACATTTCTAACTTGCTCAATATTTCTAAATTTAAAAATGAAGTTAAATTCACAAACAACAGAATTTTCCTTTATGAAGCATATAGTTTGGCTCTGAAATCCAAAACAGTCTTTCTGCAATTTGTTACTATCTTACGTTTTGGCAAATTGGTGTCTAATTCGTATCAGTTCCTTAACAACCGTAAATGGCCTAATAAAGAACCATAATATTTGGCAAAGGATTATTTAATAAAAATTTTATTATTAATAATAATACATTTCATTATTTTTATGAAGATATACCATTTTATGGTATATCATTGCTGCTGTTTTATAAAAGGGCCATTTCTGCTATGCTGCACCTTTTATGATGCTACTTAAAAAAAAAGTGTTATTTTATTAGAGTAGATCAGAATTTCATAAATATGCACTGGTTAAGCCATAGGCAACTTGATTATTTTAACAATGACAAATAAAACGAACAAGATGGAACACAACCTGAAGGCAATAAAAAAAAGTTACATTTTACCATTGCTCAGTGAATGATTGAGTTAGTTTATGTTAGAGTTTCAACTTTTAACATTTACAAATTTTGATTGTATCATTGAGGCTTCTGTAATTTTATCAAGCATCACTTTTTTAGAGTGAGACAAACCAAACAATGCCACACAATCACAGAATGAATCAAATGCATTTGTACTTATGTTTGTGCTGTTGTTTTCCCTCCAAAATGATGTCACTTCCTGAATGATGATGACAGTAAGGAAGTGGCTTTTATTTGTTATGCTAAAATAAACTAGAAAGTGATATCAAGGAGATATTGAAGGCTTAGAAAAACCCGTAAAATAGCTGACAGTTCAAACTATATTAAAAATTAAAACACATGAATGTTTGGCAGAAATCTCTTGAACTTTGGTGGATGATTACTTCAGTTAACTAAACAGCAAGATGGGGATGTTGACATTCCATTCAACTTTCTTAAAGACATTTGTTTTATTTTTCAGCCAACAAACTTATTTTCCTCACATTTCAATGACCACACAAACTGTTTCTGCAGAAAAACAAATGGCTGAGAGCTCTCCCCAGTGGTGGATTCCTGCTGCTGTGATCACAGGCATTGCAGTCACTGCATTCATATGAATTATAAAATGTAAAGGTATGGATTACCAGAATCATCATTCAATCAATATTTGGAATATCTACTCTTATACTTACTATATATGTGCAACAATTGTATCTACTTCAAACCAGCTGGCTGTACAAAATCAAGTAAAACCCATGTAGAGGCTACATAGATGCAACCAATCAGAGGTTTGTGTGTGGTAGCAGTTGCATAATAAATCCTCCTCATCTCACTGCATCATATTCACAGATCTCTATCCTTTACAGTGACTGTTGCAAACAGCGGAACTGCATCTGAGGACACCTGCTTAACAGAAGAGATTGCCAACAGACCAACATGAGAATACGTGGGGGAAAAGTGTTTAAAACAGCATTGATGGGACCTTTTAGGCCTTCCTTCAAATCCTGAAAAGTTAATGATTTGCTGCCAAGACAAAAGGAGAGACAAAGTATTTATTAATTTTATTATTATTATGGAAATATTTGTCTATACTTACAGTAAAAATTACAAAAACAATCCAATGTTGAATTTCTATTAACTTTTACTAATTGTATGTACTGGTATTTTTTTCATTTATGTTCTCTCAAATAATGTTTTGAATTGGATGCATGCTATCTGTTGACCTCACACATGAAAACTAAATGATTTTTGTATGTAAGAACATCTACTAAATGTAAATGTAATTTCTATTAACTATATTAATTATTAAATATCAGCTTTCATAAATTTATACAATTTTAATTAACAATAAAAACTTGTGAAATGCTATATGAATCACCAGTGTATATATACAATCACATCTTGTATCTGAAATTATCTACAGTTAAAAGGTTTTTTTTCTGCTAAAATCTCAGATGTTCCGTTTTAAATCATAAATAACAAGTAAAAGTAAATAATGGTTTTGTACACCTGTCAAGGTAAAATTACATAATGCACTTTCATTATGACTCCTGTTAGGCCTCTAAAAGCCAGTTAAAATTTACAAAATATTCTAATTATTTTTTAATTATTTATAATCATGATTGTATTTGTGCGCAAATACCTATCAATAACCTACTGTCTGATTGTACAATTGAATCTGTATTTCCACATAATTAGGGCAATTTGTTTCTGTGATTCACTGCCATTTTTAAACTTACAACATATACAACACTGATATTCATGGAATGAGGTGAAGTTCGACTTCAGGTTCGTAAACATAGTAGGAGGGTTCTAAGTAAGACTAGTGCAGCCTGTTAATCTCCAAAGAGGATGTATTGCAATGCGGAGAAATAGAATAGTAATAAAAAGTATTCAAAACAGAAAGTAGTTGGTCGACAGACTACATATTACACATCATTTTAAACAAAGTGACTAGGAATCTGTTTTTCTTGCTGTGGATTCTGCCTGTAACCTTATTTACATGTCTGATATGTGCCTCAAACTTTCAACTCGTTAACTCAATCTTAGAAACAGACTGCCTCATTCAGTTACATTAACACCCCAGTGTCTCTTTAAAAGAAATGACAAATTTATTTGTAATTAAATGATTAGTTGTAACTTTAATTGTAAAAATGTTTATTTAACTGTATATTACATTAATGTCAATGCTTGAACTTTTTAATGTTTCTTACAGAGTGCAATATAATAGTTTTCTCAGATAATTTATAAATACAAAAAAAAAAAAAAAAAAAAAAAAAAAAAAA